GATCATGACCTGAGCCAAAGTCAGTCACTCAACCGACTGAGCCATCCGGGTGCCCCTGGTTTTCCCGACTTTAAATCTTAGACCTTGTCTTGCTGGTTCTCTTAAATGATCCTATGTATCCTAGGGAGGCAGGTGCCACCTAAATCAGTAGAGCTTCAAAGCAAGAATTTTAAATTTTTCCCATTTTCAGGTTGTCTTTTATGACAAGAACATGCTTTGCTCATTCATAGTCAATCAAAAAGTAAAGTTGAAATAGCGTAATACTGTATTTGGTAATTTTGCCACTCATGCCACGTTATGGGTTAAACAATAGGGGATGAGCGGCCAGGGGTTTAATATAATCCAGTTCCTGTGTAAAAAGAGTAAAAGGGAGAAGGATGGCTGAGATAACACGTGAAAAAACTTAAAAGTCGCCCCAGGATGGCAGATTTTGTCATGACCGACTGCCAAAGTTCTCATTGTTACTCAAGAGCTTCATCAAGAGTCAAAAAAACGTGTTTTGCTTTATTGTGTTTTCCTCTCAATCTGTCATTCTTAGTTTCCAACAGTCTACTAGGCTGGCCAAGCAGCTGCTAACCACCAAGGCTGGCGTCCGCCTCCATCCAGGCATTGGCGCCAACGGGCAGGGACCCTCCGCAGTGCCCCGTGTACACAACAGCTTTCAAAAACGGGTGACGGGGGCACAAGCAGCCTTTAATTTGCTTCCCCGTTCGCTGGGTAATCGTAAAGAACCGGTTGTCTGCGAATCGTGGGGAATGGACCCGACGTTCGCGGATAAACCTCCCGGGTTCGCGGATAAGCCCCCGGGAGGCTCGAGAGCCGGAGCACAGCCGCCGAGGTCTCGCGAGAGCCGGGGTGGCCCTTAGGCGACGCCGTAGGCGGGGTCGGTGGGCGCGTTCCCCTGGGCGGGCGGTTTGGGTGCTCGCTTGGGCCGGCCGTGGGCGCGGGGCTCCGGGGTTCGGGGCTCGCCCCCGCTCCGGGCAGGCGTGCCTATGGCCTTTCTCAGGTGACGCTGCGCTCCCCGACTTTCTCCGGGGGCGGAGGAAACACCCATGAACCCTTCGGCGACCTTATTCGCCGGGCGTCAGGTGAGCGGCCGCCGCGGGCTCACCGTTTCCGCCGCTGCGTCCTGCTGCGAGTGGACAGCGAACCTCAGGGGACGGGGAGCACTCCGACCCAGCTTGGGTGGTTTTTAAGGAACGGTTTCTGCTTAAAATGTGAAACGATACACAGTACGAAGAGAAACGGAGTGTCGCATCTGTTTCCTTTCCTTCGTAAAAGCGATCTTGAGCCCAGGCGCGGAGCAGTAGGTGCTCACTTTTTAACGACAGCTGGGCGTTTGGAGAGCTGCCCTAGGCCACCTCGCTTCCTGTCCTTAATTTCCTTAGAAGTGTTGAAAGCGAGCTTTGCATTTATGAGTAGTGTACGATGAAAAGTGAGCTTTGCATTCATAGGTACGATGAAATGAGCTTTTTTGCATGCTTGGCGTATTGCCTATTTTCCTACACCAGAATTTGTGCGCCTTGCCGGCGCGCTCAGCCACGTGACGTTCAGTAAATATTTGTCGAACGGATTAATGAATTAATGAATGGTTACCGACGACCCGAATTCGGATCTTGTGATTTGGAATCGCTTGATCCAAATTCCGTTTTCTGTGTTTAGTTACTAGTAAGTAACTAGAACTCGTTCGTCTTTATTTATTTCTGAATCTTATTTTTCAGAAAGCAGTGATGGTACACGTGGGCCTCTGGTGATCTTTTATTTATTTATTTTTTAACGTTTATTTATTTTTGAGACAGAGAGAGACAAAGCATGAACGGGGGAGGGGCAGAGAGAGAGGGAGACACAGAATCGGAAACAGGCTCCAGGCGCCGAGCCATCAGCCCAGAGCCCGACGCGGGGCTCGAACTCACAGACCGCGAGATCGTGACCTGGCTGAAGTCGGACGCTTAACCGACTGCGCCACCCAGGCGCCCCTCTGGTGATCTTTTAAAGTAACACTTTTAGTTCATAGGTAGGGGGCAGTACCATATTTCAAAAATGTGGTTTACCATCTTAATAATAGCTAATGTTTGGAAAGCTACACTTCCCTTTCACATGTTGAAGTTGGTATCTAAAATTTTTCCTTGGGAAAAAAATAAGAAAGCTAATGTTTGCTGAATGCCTACCCTGTGCCAAGTAATGTGGAGTGCTTTGCAGTTTATCTTCCTTAATACACACAACTCTAAGAAGTTTAACTGTTATTACCATTTTACAGGTTCCTCAGGAAACCAAGGCTTAGGGAGGTTAAGTAACTTGTGCAAGGTTATAGAGCCACTAAAACGGTTAATTCTGGTTTCACGCTTACGACAGACCAACTTCATGCACCAGACTTAAAAATGACGTATGCTTAAAGGGTATTGTAGATAATTTTGTTAGGTATGAAGTGGCATCATGGTTATATAAAAAAAAGTTTCATTTTTAGAGATGCATACCAAAATACGTAAGAATGAAATATATACATATATTTTATCAACAACAAAAAGAGAAAGGAAAATTGAAACTTGTTGATGGTAGGACGTAGGCACTGAGCATGAGAGAGTTTTTCGTACAGTTCCCTTGTTACCATATGCGTTTGAAATTTTTCCCTTACAAAATGTGTTTATAAACAGGCGTGTTGATTTTGGACCAATCACAACATTAAATTGTTCTTGGTAGATGGAGTATATGTGCTAAATGTTACGAGAATTATTTTCATTTAAACACTAATATTTCACGGTTTCCTTTACTTGATTGGCCCCGAATTGTTGGGCCAAAGTGTGGGATAATACTGTTAATTGATACAAGGAATAGGTTGACAGCAAAGACACAAAAATACCGAAATGAGTTTATTTGAGATTAGCTAATGAAGGTGGGACAAATGTCCCACTTTTTAAGAGCAGTGTGTGTGGTGGTATGACAAAATTACAGAGTTCATGCACAGTAGCATGAACTTATTTAAATATATGTAATGATGCCATATAATAACCAGTGCATAAAAAATAATTTAACTGCCTTGAATTGGCAGCAAAAGAAGATACAGTTATTTGGAAAATATGCTTTGGCTGATTTGTTTATTGATTAGTTTTTTGTTTTTTTTTTTTTTTTATATAAAACTACTTTCTGTGTTTAGAACATCGGGTCGGAAGTTGAGATTTCCACTATCGAGAAACAGCGGAAGGAGCTGCAGCTGCTCATTGGAGAATTAAAAGATCGAGATAAAGAGCTCAATGATATGGTTGCAGTACATCAGAGACAACTTCTTTCATGGGAAGAGGATCGGCAGAAAGTGTTGACTTTGGAAGAACGTTGCAGCAAATTAGAGGGTCAGAAATACATTAGCAGTATCTCTTCCACACTTCTGTATGCCAGCATATTAAAAGGACTCACGGGTTAGACACACAACCGCTATTTAAATGTTAAATACATTTCAAAAAAGGAGTGGAGGGGGGCGCCTGGGTGGCTCAGTTGGTTGGGCAACCGACTT